AGTCCAAGAACAGAACACACAAAGTCTGTTGGCAAAATTGATTTCGAGAGTGGAGCATAGCGAATTGACCCACTGCTGCGAGTCTACTTATCAGATACAAAACAAGAAGAAGATGGAAAACGTTAGAACAGAACTGCTCTAACTGCGCTCTCTTTACCTCGATATCAATAGAGCCCAGTTCTTTGGCACGCTTCTGCTTCAGGCTCAGTCTCAGCTTGAGCTTCAGCTTCAGCTTTTGCTTTGGCTACTTCGACAAGCAAATCATTTGCTGCGCCTTGAGGCAAACACTTGTTGTTGTTGTTGCTGCTGATCAATTTGCATAATTAGCGCACCTTTTTCGACCATTAAACATATTTTTAACAACGCTTCTTTAATCACCTTTAAGTGAGAGTTAAAAAAAAAAATATATATATGTATATATATGAATAAAAGCGGGTTAAAATATTTTCTGGGCTTCCTGGCGAAAGTCTGAAACTGTTTTACAACTCTACCTAGGGTAGGGCAGTAATTATGAAATGAGAACGAAAATCTTCGGTTGTACAAAATTTGAATTCTCTTAACATAAATGAAATATATGTAGCACATATATTCTAGAATTACTAGCAGAACACTTCTTTCCGAGTAAGTAATCTCATATTTCCTCAGATTGCATTTAAATATCCATTTTCTTTACTATCTATTTTCTAAATTTATTTTATAAAATTATATCACATTAATTACCCCCGTTTGTAGCTCTGTTCAAAGTCCATAGAATTCCCAATTGATTTTAGCTAAGAGCGAGTTGATTAAAACTGAATGAATATTTTATAGCAAATTATTTTGAAAATAGAACCAGGAAATGCCACATAACGAAACCGAAAAACCTATCCACTTTCTACGTCTTCAATTTGCTGTTGTTTAGTAACTAATAATTAACAAATAAATGACCTCGAGCCTGCAGCTTAATGAAAGTTGGATATTACAGTAATTTTACGTATGCAAAGCTTTCGAATACAAAATCGATCTATCTATTAACCTTTCTAGTGATAATTTTTTGCCTAGTTATCTTTCTAGCTATTTTTGGCTATTTTATAGCTAAATTTATAGTGAACTTTACAGCAATCTTTACAACTGTCTTTCTAGGGGTATTTAGCATTCCAGCATCTTTCTAACCATCTTCTTAGTTCGCCTAATCGATCTCTCTATTTATCTGTCGAGCAATCAATTTATCTCAAGTTGTCTTTTTAGCTATTTTTCTAGCTATATTTTTAGCTATTTTATAGCTAAATAAAAAAAAACGATTCTATCTATCTTTCTAGTTGTGTTTCTATTTATATATCAATCTACTATATAAATATCTATCAACCAATCTCTATATTGATTTCCTCCTATCTATTTATCTAAATATCTATATATACAAAAACATATGCATGAGCAAATATGACAGTCACTGGGACAGCAATCAGTGGTTCGCTGCAGCTGCAGCTGATAAAGACTTCGATTGCGATACTATACTTAGAGATACTTGAATAGAGCGAAAGATAGTTAGGAAAGATAATATTTGCTAGCCCGATTGACACAGTGCCATAGTATTAAAACGTTGCCTCTGAGAATAGAAGGAAGCGGAACTGCTACTAAAAGTAGATCTAAAGTGAACATACAAAGTCTTTAGTCCATTGACAATCAGATGACCCAGATTTCTGCTTTTGTTAGTAAATCAACTAAGAGTAAATAATAAGTATGATAAATCCGCTTGGTAAACCCAAGCAAATCCAATCCAGATTCTCCTTTTTCATAGGAATCAAATCATTTTGCAAACAAACCTAGAGTAAAAACAACTTCCAGAGTAGAATATCCACACTTGTTGCTGCTACTTGGTTTCAGCTGCTGTCTGGGCCTCTGTGGAATGTGAGAGAAATGGCTGAATGCAAACAAGCAATAACAATAAACAAAGGCGATTCATTGAATAATAAATGCAGTCCAGATGCAATTATCAAAGCAAAACATTTCTTTGTCAGATGAGTGAGCTGTCCGTTCGCTGTTGGCAGACTGAAAGGCATCGGTGAGCATCTCACCTTTGGGAGAAGAAGGTGTGCTGCAGTCATGCTTATCAGTTAGTAACAACGACAACATAATAAACACCCATAACAGCCACCGATGCAAATATTAACATGTAGCTCGTGAGATAAGAGAAAGATAAGAGCTGCACTGCTGTAAGTCAGTCACATTCACTGCGAGCCGAAAAAGAGTGAGAAAACTTTTGGGCAAGACAACGAGACAAAGCGATCGTCTTACCCGGAAGTTTTCTGTTGGCTGCTGCAACGGGCTGGGCTGGCCTGGGCTGGGTAGCTACTTTTACTTTAAACTGACTGTTTACTGGCTTGCATAATAGTTTTAATAGATGCAGTTCAAGTCAAGATGTGTGAGATATGCTTTAATAAGCATATAGATTGATACAAAAAAAGATACCGGTAGGCAAACATATGCAGATGCGGTTAGAAAGATAGATACAGATACATATGTGGATGTAGATAAAAATGTAGTAACAGATGCAAATTAGGTATACGGATACTGGGATACAGATAGATCAAAGACTCAGTCAGAAACAGATACAAATAGATCTAAAGATACAATTAAATATATAGATAGAGATACATCCACATATCCAATTCGAGAAACAGATATAGATATATAAATAATACTCATGCATATATACTCAGAGATTCAGATATACCAATACAAATAGATATACACATACAGAATCAGATATATAAAGACAGATACAAATGGAGATACAGCTACAGCTACAGCTACACATACAGATACAATGACACAGAGATACAGATACAGATACAGATACTGATACGTCGCACACGCCCCAAATAAAGCGACAAGAGTCGCGCTAACCGCTCACGATCCGAGCGCTAATTCAAACAAATTGCAGCATAAATGCATTATAAAAGGCAGAGGAGCAAACACGACCGACATCCAATGTGTGTGACTGTGTGTGTGTGTGTGTGTGTGTGTGTGTGTGTGTGTGTGTGTGTGTGTGTGTGTGTCTGTGTTTGTGTGTGACAGTATTAAAAGGCAACGGATTCTGGATTCTGGATACTCGAATACTCCGCATAGAAAACGCATATGATAAATTACACAAAAAGCTAGTTTCAAGCACACGGCTGCTGTAAATGTGGGCTGAGTGCACAGTGGTTGAAAAACAATTAAAAGTGATAAATAAATTCATTTAAATGAATGCAAATTTGAGACAATAGATCAAAAGATTTCAGTCAAAGACGATTTTTGAATGAAAGCTGAGATATCGTAATCTGCTGAAGTCGAATAGTCGAAAGATTATTAGGGAGCTCTCTTAACATTTATACAAATCAAATATCAGATATCACTAATCAGTTGCTGAAAACTCTTTTATAACGACAGACTACGAACTTATCTTAAGTAACTTTAATTCATGATATATTTACTGCTTCAAGAAATACTCAAGTTCTGGAGGTATTCTCAAATTCTTTTGGGCTCAACCAAGAGAAAACCCCTTTAATAAACAAACGAATATTTGAAACTTGAAACGAATTCAAAACCAGTTTCAGGCAATTCGCTTACATCAGTTTCAAATCATTTAATGTTACGCTTTAATTCACATTCCGAGTACATTTGCCGCTCCATTTGGTGCAAGCCCAAATATAATCGCTTTTTATTTCCCATTAATGATGATGAGCACCCACTGTGCAGCGTGCATCGGGCAGCAGCTAGAGTAAGCAGCAAGTGCTTTGTTGTTGTTGTTGTTGTTGGTGCAGCTAATTTGATTAATGATAAGCCGAGCTTAACTGACGACGATTGTGATTCATTATGTGCGCACATCCAGCACACTTAGCGCAAAAGATATAGATTCAGCTATAGCTCCAGTAACCAAGGCAGATGCAGATGCAGTTGACGTTGCAGTTGCAGAAGCAGATGCAGTAGCTGCTGCGAATTGCATTTAATAGATTGTTGGCATAGAATGAGGAGAGACAGAGCATTATTTTATTAGCTTGACAACATGTGTCCGTTGTTAGGCAATTGCCATATAGACTAGATCTCTCCTTTATCCCCCTCTCTACCCCTCTCACTCCATCGCTTACACTTGCCAATTGAATTGAATCACCATCAAATGCGAAATATGCTTTCGCTATCTATGAAATACAATTTAGTTGGCTGATTACATGCAATGAGCCATTTCCTTTGTTGTGTCGACTCGCACGCTAATGCCATAGTAGAGTCCGTTGTTGCCACTATCTATACATCTGTCTAGCTATGTGTGTATATCCATGTATATCTATGCTTCGTCACAGCTGCTGGCCACTTGCATCGCCCCATTTGGGTCAGAACAGAGCGGGCTATTCAACACAGTAAAAGAAAGGCGGTCAGAGCGCATTTCAATTTGATTTGCCTGAAGTCATCGACTCAAAAAAGAGGAATTCGTATAAGTATGAGCATACAGTGTACAGAATAAGTATAAGTATCTTTAGAGTTAAACATAGATACATTGATAGTTACATAGATACAGATACAGACAAAAATACAGATACAGATACAGATACAGATACAGATACAGATACAGATACAGATACAGATACAGATACAGATACAGATACAGATACAGATACAGATACAGATACAGATACAGATACAGATACAGATACAGATACAGATACAGATACAGATACAGATACAGATACAGATACAGATACAGATACAGATACAGATACAGATACAGATACAGATACAGATACAGATACAGATACAGATACAGATACAGATACAGATACAGATACAGATACAGATACAGATACAGATACAGATACAGATACAGATACAGATACAGATACAGATACAGATACAGATACAGATACAGATACAGATACAGATACAAATACAGATACAGATACAGATACAGATACAGATACAGATACAGACACAGATACAGATACAGATACAGAACAGATACAGATATCATCTGTATTGAGAAGAAATTTTAGAGGACAAAATCCGATTATATTTTTTTTTTGTCAACAATAATGATTACAATATTTATTTTTGACCATTTCCCGATGCTCGTAAAACTGTCGAATCAATCTAAATAATATTCTTAATTTTGCTTTCTACGTTGCTGTCATAGGATTTCTTTGTTCTGTTCTCTGTGTTCTTAGTGATCTTAGCTGCTGTTGTTGGTGATCATGCTGGAAGCAAGTGGACATTAATAATACATAATGTGTTAACATATAATGGGTAACATTGTTGTTGGTGTTGTTTGATGATGTTCTCGTTGTTCTTGTTGTTTCGTCTATCCACTGGCTTTCTCGCGCTCCTTGCGTTCCTTTTCGCGTTGCTTTTGTTGCTCCTGCCTGGCCTTCTCCTTTTCCTTTTTGATTTTTTCGCGCTCCTTCTCCTGCTCGGCGAGCCGTTTCATTTCCTCCCTTTCGAAGGCTTCGAACTCCTCGCGATCCTGCGTCAGCTGAATGAGCTCGGCCATCTCACTTTCATCCAAATCGCCCTCATCGAGATCTTTCTGCATCAGCTCCACCTCACGGCTCATGGCCTCCTTGGCCTTGCGGCGTCGCACTTTAAGCTCCTTGGCATCCAGTCGATCTTGACGGCGCTGTTCGCGCTCCTCCTTCTCCTCCTCTCGGCGCTCCTCCTCCCTGGCGAACTCCTCCATCTCGTCCTCAGTATACGGATAGTCCGGAATATCGTAATATAACCGAAAATCCTCCGATGTGATGCATAGGAAAAGGGTGCCAACGAACGCTGCAATGCCGCTCAATAATGCCATATTGTGTCTAGAGTTCTTGGCCTTCCATTCCTTCATGAAATCGCCCTGCGGCTTGGGCAAATCATCGAAGATGGCATGAGTGCCGCCGCTCGGAAAGTAGCCCGGCTTCGGTGGAGGCTTCTTCTCCTGTGCACCTTTGCAAGTCGATTTGGCAGCGAATTGCCGGTTAAAGATCACAAATTTGTTGAATCGAGTATAGCGCACTGAATGTTCAGTTCCAATTAATATATATATATATAACCAAAGCACTTTCCGAATTATATCTGAGATCTACTTACACTCACGCGACAGCCGCGATGGAGCGGCCATCAGAAGTCTGGACATATTTACCGTTCGTCCCTTCGTCGTACTCTGATAGCAAATGCGGATTTGTTTATTTGATGTGTGACTGGAAAAAGTATAATTGTCCACACTGACAATAGCTTTCTCAAAAGCTGCTTCGTTTACGTTTTATTATTTTGTTTTGCCTTATTTTGCCTTTCTGTTCTTTGAAAGCTAAAGCTATAGCAAAAATGTCAACGGCAGCAGCATAAAGTGCAATTGATATGAATTCTTTGAATTCCGTCAAACTGTTATGAATGCTACGGCAATTTGCTTTCTTTTATTGAAATTTCGCTTAATGCTATGATTTTTATATTACTACACGATATGGATTTTTGTGAATTTAATTTGTTTCCTTACTCGATAAGCATTTGAATTAAAACGAAAAGACGAATTAGCTTTGATTCAATATATATATATATATATTTTTATTTATTTTTTTCAATTCCAGAAGGACTACTATTTTTATATATTTTACTTTAAAAAAAAATAAAATAAAAATTGAATAAAATAAATTTTTAATGTTATAAGTGCGTCTTAAAAGCTCTTGTGTAATTTTCTTTTCGGAGTCCAAATCCCATAAATCTTACTGCAAACAAAGCAAATTAGTGGTAAACTCTGTATGTTTTTGTGGAGCAGCACATTTGGTTAGCAAGTCAGAGTGGGGCAGCGTCCATTTGCTGCGATAACAAAGAAACATAACTGCTCGACAAAATGGGTAGTGAGAACGGTCGCGAGATACAGAGACAAAGCTTATCTGTTGCAGAGATACCTGAAGTGCTGAAGAGCTGAAGAGAGACGATGGAACCAGACAGCCAGAGGAGGCCCAAAGCTCGACCAGCAGCGCATTAGCATGTTAGAGAGCATCAGAAAAAGATTTCATGGAAATTTATGATGCCCCAAAAGAACAGAATCTACAGAGGTGTCACGTGCGTGCGCTGTCAGCCCCCACAGCACTAGAGCACTACCACTAGAAAAGTTGTCAAAAATTTTGTATAGTTGACGATGTGGAAAGATGGGACAAAAGTAGTTCGTCGTTCGCTGGTAGTTTAAACAGATAAAGAAGCTAAAGAGAAGCTAATCACGTCAGTTGCACGCCCCAAACGAGACTGCGAGAATGCGGTCAACAAACTTGTTTCCCGTTGCACTCTGAGCGGAGGGTGTGGGCGTGGGTGTTCACTATTTATACTCATTCACGAAAGTGAGCCATGTATATTGGTTTTGTGCACTGTTCGAACGTCTTGCTATAAGCACTGCTATATATACCCAATAATAATAATATGTCAAGATTTTCCCGATCGGAATCAGACAGCGTTTAAGACGTGAATGAGTATACTGCAGTCGGTGACGCTCGACTGCAACGTTTTTACTTGTTTTGACTGTGAGTAGGTAGGAAAAGAACTTGATCGCAATATGCAATGCTGAATTATGTCGCTTTATAATGTCAAGATCTACAAAATATATACAAATACACATACATATACATAAGTATCTAGTGCTATGTGAAACGGTTTTTCTGCAACAGTGCTTTCTCTGATTTCGGTTGGATTTTCTGCATGTTCGCTTGTCTCTTTCGGGTGCAGAAACAGATGTAGGAGCAGAGTGCAAATAAGGCATAGATTATGGCAGCTACATAGCAACGTAACGCCAGAGTCCTATTTAGGTGATCGCACTCGGTGCGAAATTGCTGCAGACTCTTATAGGTCTCCTTCAGCGGCAGTGTTTCAATCATAGACACGGAGTTGAGCGAATAGGACATGCCCATCAGCAGCAACTGAATTGTGCCCCAGATGCTCATGAAGAGGCAGAAGAGGGAGCACTTCTTACCGCAAAACATTCCAAGTGTTTTCCAATCCTCAAAATCCACAAAATCTGTATAATTTTGTATATGTATAATTGATAGATCGTGTGACGGCTAAAGCAAAACCACATCATCGCCCTCTCTCTCTCCCTCTCAGTCTCTTTCTGTTTGGCTCCGACAGGTGCAAAGCCCACATGAAATAAAAAGTTTCCGCCACATGAACCAATTCAGCTCCAGCACTTGCTCTTACCTGTTGCCTCTAACCTTGTGCGATTTTAATGACATTAGATCTTGCCGGCCAGATTGTGAAGGTTAGACCCAGCCCCAACAGTACATACACATATATGCATATACATATATATATAGCATATATAGCTTTGACTCTTTGCATCGACTCTAGCTAACACTCGCTTTCAGTTGCTTTTGCGGTTGCCTTTGCCTTTGCTTTTGCCGTTGCGGTTGCTGTTGCGTTTTCTGTCGGGTTGTTCAACTCGTGCACACATTTTGCATAAATTTTGTTTCGGTTTCGGATTCTGTGAGCCGTTCAGCAGTTGTTTGACAGCTGCTATTAGTGACAGTTCAGCTAGTTCAAAGAGTTCACAAATTGCAAAAAAAGAGAGAAATAAATTCTCACCTGTCTTAACATGTTTTGTTTTTAAAACTTTTAAAAGCCCTATATATGGTCAAATTAAATTTAATAATGTTAAGGATTTGATATAGATATCAAATAATATAAATAGATATATAATTTATGATATCTTCAATATATTTATATAATATTATCAAAATTGGTATATCAAGTTTCCTATTCAGAGTCCCTAGTTATTCTAAGCAGCAAAAGCTTTGGTGATATATCTGATCTTATCATATATGTAAATATTTTTTTCAAAGAATTTTTATGGTCTTCAATTTTTAAGGAGCTTCTTCATTGGCTCATAAAATTTACTTAGGCATTCTCCTTCTGCGTATAGAGTAGGCGTAGATTACCCTATGTTAAAAATATGCCCATAGTTAAAAATATACATAAACATAAGTTGAACTATTTTTAGTTTCGATGTAATCTGCTTATGGTTTTTTATAGCACATCTTTCCAAAGCACTTTACCCTGAGAGCTCAGCATATTTATGCTTATTTTTGCCTTTATGCACTATACAGTAATAATAAAAGTAGGGAAAATAGTAACAACTACTCACCGATTTTCCAAATAACGCATAAAATGGTATTTCGTTTCAAGCAAAAAATCTGCTAAAACGAGTAGCAAATGCGAAAAAATCGCTGTAAAAATGTTTGCCAAGTGCCTTAAAAATCCGTTAGACGAGTTCAACTTGCGAAAATTCGTAAGACGGTTTAATGTTTTATTTCTTTATTTTTATTTTTGTTTTTGTTTTCTTCGTTTTTGTTGTTGTTGTTTTGTTGCTTGTTTACACAAGTTTTTATGCAGTCGTTAGTTTTATGGTTTGCACAAAGCCTTAAGCTGTTTTTCTTCTCTTTTCTTTTTTGCTGAAATGTGCAAAAGGCCTTCAATTAGAAATAGCCATTAATCGTTTATATTGAATGCTCTTAGGTTTTAGGATCCGCGCTCTTAAACTTAACAACTATACAAAGCTACAGAGACATGAAAATGCTTTTATGCTTAGATTTTTTTCATAGACAAGCAATGATTTTTACAACATTTATAGAGCTAACTATTGAGGAATTAAAATATAAAATTTTTTACAACATTTCAAACATGATCGTAATTGGAAATTTTTGAAACAAACTTGATATCCTCGTGCTATACAGAGCCCTACACATTTTTAAAAAAAAAAAAAATAAATAAATGAATAACATTGTATCGCAGACATCAAAAATGAATTCAAAGAAAACCTTGACATTAGCTTGTTTATCTTCGAGCAGCTCAGTTTACATGTCTCGTAATCACCAATCAATCAAGCTACAGTAGCCACTCTAATGAAGGACAGCCACATTAATGTATTTAATTGCATAAGCTGGAATGGCTTTAATTATATATCACAAGAGTCCAACATTATCAGAATCACTGCACATTTTTTTTTTTTTTAATTCATAATAGATTTACATATATAATATATACAAATATATTAATATATGCAAATACTCTTACATAGATATAACTGCATAAGTTTATATTTGTATTATATGCCATTCAGTTTCTCCTTAGTTCTATCTGCTTTGAAATTCCTTCAACTATCGAAAGAAATTCCACCAGAGTCAACAAATTATCAAAACAAATAATTCTTAGCGGAACGCCAAGCGCAGCATTTTCTTTTCCTTTTCAACTGAATTTGTGCATACACAGTTATTTATATTTATTATTATTATTATATTTTGTGATAAGATGGCATAGCGAAAATACATTTGATTTGCTTTTAGTTGTTGCTGTTGTTGTCAATTGCTTTCTTTTATTTGTTTTGCATTCTTTAAGTAAAACACTTGTTGAAACGCGAACACACACGCACACATAGATACCGACACCGACACACACACACGCACGCAAATGCCGCTTTGAATCAGAGCTTGGCGTATATACCGTATAAAGCAGGCTGGGCTGCACAAGAGCCAAAACAAACACGAAAATGAACCAGTAGCGGCGCAAAAGAGACAGCGAGAGTGAGAAAGACCGAAGCGCGACACGACCAACTTGCTCCACGTTCGCTGCTGGAATGAAACTAGTGAGCGTAGCCGCCAAGCCACTGGAGAGACGTCGCGTCGCGTCGATTGTGTGTTTGTTTAGCTGTTGGAGCTCTTGGCGCTTGCTTGCATGCTAGCGAGGCATTTGGAGTTCTGGACTACAGCATTAACGATTTGCAAGACATTATAGATGTAATAATAAAAAAAAATTAGTAACAATTTTATTTCAAATACAATTAGTTGTTTAGTATATAAGCGCCTCACATTTGAAATTTATGCAAATCATACACGTAAATATTCTTCTTAATTGTGAATTCTATTTTTAAATTGGGTTAATTTTTACTTAAATAAGAAACAGTCATTTTTGTTATAAATAAAACATATAAATCAAATAGTTTCATTTAACCAACTGTTGATTGAAATGATTGTTTGATAAACGAACAGTCCGCTGTTAACTTAACATCATGCTCTCAGAGAGAGTAACAGACCTCTGTTGCAGAAGCGAGCGCTGCCAGACACAAAGCTGACTGCTATGGCGAAGCTAGGCAAAGCTATTAAAATACGCGACATAAAGCAGTGAATGCAAAGTTAAATAAGTTTATTATTTATTTTTAAATTAACTATTCTGATTAAAAGTTTAATTTTTGATAAAGAGTTAAAAAAGTTGTAACATAATTATTATTTCTTATTACCTTTTTTGTTTTTTTTTTTAATGCAATAATTAAGTTACCAAGAAATTATTTTTAAGAGTCATATATATATATTGGTTTACAAAGGAAAGCAATAATAAAAAAACACTATTTTCATTTACATAAATTAAAAAAAAAAAACCTTTACTGGTTTATTTTTTCCTTTAATCAAGTTTAAATGCTTATTTGCAATGCCCTATATAGACTCAAAAGCTTTTGGCCTAAAAAAATTACGAATAAATAAAAATTCTTTAAGTTTTAAATATTCAAAATATTTTTGTTAAATTTACCAGCTTGTCCATATAATATTTGTGTATGGCAAAGATTTCCTGTTTGGCGCAATTAAAGCTCAACTTTTATGGCAATTTAATCGGTAGCGCTTAGAAGTATTTTGCGATCATTAAAAGCAGATCTCTGTCTGCTAATTTTGGCCGATAGCCAACCAACAATAACTGAGACAAGCTAATGCCATAAAAATCCAAGTGTGATGGAAGTTACGCCCATGCCCAGTTAGCATGAATTACTTTTTGATTACTGGCCATATATACATATGGCTACATGGAACGATCGCTAGATCGATATGAAGCTAACTGTGATCGCCTTAAAAGGCCACAGTCGGATACTTTCGCAGCTGTTGGCGGATTTCCGCTCCCAAGCTACTAGAGTTTCCAGCCACCCAAATGACAAAAATGTGCCCATGATTAGAGAGCCTCGCAGTGGTCTTAAAGCCAAAGTTTGTCATTTGATACGGCACCGCAGGAGGAGTGAGTAGCAGCAGCAGCAGGAGAAGGAGGAGGAGGCTGTGGAAGGAGGCCTAAGCACTCGAGCGATTAGCATGTTAAACAGCGGCTGCTTAAAGACTATAATTAAGCGACATAAACTTGGGTATTAGGCGCTAAATACACACACACACACACACGCACACAGTCAAAAAAGCACACACATGGACACAGCTGAGGGGAAATTGAGTAAAACGGGGGCCCTCTCATGATTTGCATAACTGTTTGGCTGGGGCACGCACTCGACGTCTCGATCATCTTCTGGGAGTGAGTCTGGCCCATGCGCCCATGGGCCTGGCTTGCATTCGAAACAGACGGCAGACGGCAGACGGCATGGCAAACAAAAAACGGAGGCAAACAGACACAAGCACACACACACACGCACACGCACACACACACTAACACATTAATATGCACCTGTCCACATATGCGACACGTTGGGCTTTCATTTGCTGCCTAAGAAAGAGTAAACAGTCCCCAGTCGCATATTCTATGAATACACTCAACTCAGTCGGGGTATTCTCAATATGATGATGCAGGTGTGAGCAGGTGAATAACTATGCTTAATTTTAATACTGATAGTACATACAAAAATATCTAAAAATATATAAAGACAAATCAAGAAAATGTTAAATTTAATTTATGTATTTTTTTAAATTTTATTTTATATGTTCTATTTATTTTTTTTTTTTTTTTTTTAGGTATTTGATTTAAAAATTTTTCAATTATTAAACCATTTTTTTTTTTTGTAAATATTTTATTTAAAAAATTAAAAAATAAGTAATAATTAATAAAAACAAAGAAATTAGTTGATTTATATTTAAAAATAATTAAATAAATAAAAATAGAACAACTAGTTTGTTTACACAAAATAATATATATATACATATGTATATATTATATACTATTAATACTTTATTAGTAATTCAATTAAAATTTATATTCTGTCAATATTTTTATTTATTTTATTTTTTTTTTCAATTGATTTTTTTTAGGGTATTTGTGTAGCCAATGTTCAGAACATAATTTGCTTTTCCTTTCTTTTTGTTGTTTTTTATTTATATTATTATTTTTTTTCTTTTCGTAACACAAAAGAATTTCCATCAATAATGTCAATAGTACTGCAGCAACAACAACATTAAGTACTTACAACAACAACAGCGACAATAACAGCAACAAGTCGACGACACTCCTTAGCAGCTGAGGCGTTTGGCTGAAGGCGGTTTGCATACGGCTCTACTAAGGGAAAGCGGGCATATAGGTTTTGTGACAAGGCAAAGTTATTGAAGAGAGAGGATAAAATATTAAAAATTTTGTATAGTAATATATAAAGATTTATAAAGAAGATATAGATGAAGATGAAGTTTCTATAGTTGATAATAAATAATTATTTCAATAATAATGTGCATATTTTCATAAACAGCATAAATCCAAAAGTTTACAAGCGATCTGCTCTTCAGCTTCTCTAGAGGTTGAGC